CCAATAACATGGTGGCTTGCGCTAAAAAATAATATCAATGTTGTTACATTCGATTTGATAACACAACTCCATACAGCAGTTGCTTCTTCTGCTGGCATAGAAAGACTGTTTTCAGCTTTTGGGTTAGTGTACAAAACTAAGAAACAGGTTAGCCACAGAAAAATTAGTAACAATTTTGAAGGCATTAAAGAAAAAGACTAATCTAATTGAACATGAATATTGAGAATTGAGACTGAAACTGTATAATCTAATCTTTTTTAAAAGTTTTTATGTTTACAATTATTAGCAGAACAAAACTACTACTGAATGTAGTTTATATTCCGTTAAAAGATTAACAATTTTATTTTATTATTTATATGTTTATAGTCTACAGGGTATCTCAAAAATAAGGTCGAAGTCGCGTTGGAGACGTAGAATGGGTCAAGGGGAACAAAAAAGTCTGATACCATTTTGAGATATTCGCTAATATTTGGCGAGTCCTATAGGACCGCCCCCAATGCGGCCCCGACCTATGCGGCGGTCCTATAGGACTCGCCAAATATCTCAAAATAGTATCAGACTTTTTTGTTCCCCTTGACCCATTCTACGCTCTCAATGCGGCTCCAACCTTATTTCTGAGAAACCCTGTATATGTATTATAGTAGTACTAGTAGTAGTATATGTACATATAAATAAATAAAAAAATTTTTTGCAACATACATATTGTTTTTTGTGTCTCTTTTACAATTTCTTTTCAAATCACATATTTTAATTGCAGTGTTTTTAAACAGTTTTAAACAATAGTTTAAAATTGTTCAAAACAAGAGTGTTTTAAACATGTTTTAAACAAGCCGTTCTAAATGTTATGTTTAAAACATAACAACCCTGGAGCGAAGCAACGCTGCCTCTGGCTATGGTCTACTTGATTGGCCAAATATTTCGAAGCATTATTTGATTGGTCAATTTTTTTAATTGTCTGTTCAACATTCCTTTCACGGTATAGTAAGAGTAACTTGGCCAGCGAAACTTCGCTCCATGAAAAGCTAAGAAAGCTTCAGCGAAGAGCGTTTAACGCTGATTTCATTTTCGACGGAATGGGGGAGTTTTGCCAGCGATGCTTTGCTGCATGAAATTGGGGAGCGTCCCATTTGACCACGTTTCCGGCGCCGTTAGAGGGAGATTACTCCCTATCCGGGTGCGAGTGCTCCCGCGGGCGCGCTGCCGCATAGTGGAGTGTTCCCTGGTGCGGTGCGGTGCATGCCACCACGGGTGGTCCCCTCTCTGAGGGGCCGCTCGGGTCCCCGCGCAGGATGCCGGTTGGGCTCCCCGTGCGGGGAGAGGGGAGAGTGACTGCTGGAGTCAACATGGAGGGCCTCCAGTTGTGGAGACGTGGCGAGAAGGAAGAACCCGTGAAAAAATCCTGAAGAAAAACAGTCAACCCGACTCGGGATGGTTTGTAAAATAACACCATTTATGATTTAAAATGACGTCGAAGAAGATAAAACTTACGTCAACAGGCAGGAACGGAGCCGCCAGCTGTCGGCACCCGGAGAGTGGCAACCTAGCCGTCCGTGAGTCGGACCTGGTGATGTCTACGCGCAGCCAGGGGGTCGATTTAGTGGAGTCAAATTAGATTTTGGCTTCGGAAAAAGTCTCCGATCGATGATCTCTTTTGGCACTTATTAAGGAAAGTGTGTAGAATAACATATCAAAATGCATCCGCGAGATAGTGGGTGCTACTTTTTTTTATTTAACAATTTAGGTGCACAAATATGGTTTTTTGCAAATAACTTTTTAAATTCAATTTCTATCAAAAAAGTAATAATGCCATTCGAAAGAACGGGAAATTTCACGTAAGAAACGCATATGACATTTGTTTTTTTCAATTGAAATTGAACGAACAGTAATTTGTTAATTAACGCGGTAATTCTCGCTGCGTCGAGCACTCGCTGCGCTCGACAGTCGGCCCGTGCGAGCGCGCGCGCCGCACATAAGTGGCTGTAACTTTTAATAGAACAAAAAAATGACATGAAACCATTTGGATGTTAAAAAGGGTTAATTTTTGAAAGTATTACATGTGTTTAAGTATTTTTTTGAACGTTGTAAGTATTATATATATCACCTTGAAATGAAGTGTTGTACGAATTTGTGATTATTTCGTAAAATTCGATGAAATGTGATAAAAAGTAGGCAAAAAAAATAAACAAATACATGGATATTATATCTAAAGGGTTTATCTAAAATACGTATTTTGGCAAAAAAATTAGAAAAATTTATTTTACAAAATCTAAGGCTTCAAAGTTGGTAAATTTTCATAAATTGCATTTTTCTACTTTGTGTTCCTCACTTAGATCGTTAATAACAAAGTCTTAAAAAATTATATTGACACTTTATAGGTGGTAAATTTAAAGCTTATGATGTGTACTTTAAGATACAATGGTTTGTTTTGTGATAATGTGTTTTTTGTATTTTTTTTAAAGATAAATCAAAGAAAAAAAATTTTTAGCGAAAAAAGTTTGAAAATTTGAGTATAAATAAAGTGCTGTAAATGAAAAAAAAAATTTTTTTTAACACTTTCACTCGCTGAGGTGGTTGCTAAGACATAAGTTTTGAAGAATACACCTTATTCTGATTTTTTTTTTCAATTTAATAACAATTGGGTAATAACAAAACGAGAAATCGTCAAAATTACGTATTTTTCGGCGTTTTTTCGGTAAGAATATGACATTAACTGGGCATTTCAATGAAAACTGGCTTGATACTTGAATGTACGATGTGTAGTATTTTTTTGAGGTACTTTCTGAGAAGTGAGAAAGCCATCTATGAAATTTCACTGGTCTATGGTGAAAGGACGGCAAGATGCCGCCGACGCCGGTCGAAAATATACGTTAGTCATTCAGCAGTTCGGCACGTGGCTGCGTATGTTTTGCTGTATATCGTGAATATATTTATATGAAGTGACAAATAGTGAACAAAAGGTACGTAAAAATAATATTTCATTAATATTTTTTTATATTAAAAATATAATACATAATAAGATACACTAATGTATTTTATGCACATGTATTGAAGAATTTGTATAAATGGACAATTTCGACTTCCAAAAAACTTGCTTCATTTGCTATGAGGACTTAGAATTTCACCCAACAGCAGAAGTGAAAGCAAGAGGATTACAGAAGTTTAGCTCTATATCTGCTAAGCGAAATGATGGATTTCTCGGATTGTTGGAAAATCTACAATTAGTACAAGTTCATGAAATATGCAGATTAAATTATGATGAAATATAATATGAATATCATAATATCATAATAATAATATCATAATATCATAATATAATAATATCATAATATGAATTATTATGATTGAATTATGATTAAATTATGATGCAGATTAATTTCCGATTATTATTATCGGAAATTATGGACATTTCAGAACGCCCAGCACAATATCAAGAGGTCCAATAACCAAAGATTTTTCATATTAAATTCTTACGTTCTGATACATTGTAATCTATACTATTTTAATAAATACGTCAAAAATATTATAACTCATTTTATTTTGTCTCAAACGAACGAAAAAAACAATTTATTCGGTTAATTTTGCAATATTTCATATTTCCGTCGGCCATTTTGAATCCGCCATTTTGAATTTCTAAAATCTGACATCGAATTCGTATTCAGCATACTCGAAAACCCCTAGGAAATTATTTTCAAAATTTTTCAACGGTTTATACTCGATATATTTCATTTTACAACTAATTTTACACTTATTTGTTGTTATTAAATAAATAAACAATTAGCACCCAATTTCAAGAGGATGCATTTTTTCTTGACACTATTTACAAGCGATTCCAAAAGGTTTCATTAAAAAATATGGATCGGAGACTTTTTCCGAAGTTAAAGCCTTATTTGATCTAATTTGACTCCACTAATTCTGTAATTCAAGTGAGATCACTCATTTTTCGCACTTTCATCACACGCGAGTTTGTTCCCGCGATTCTATAACGTCAAGGTGAAAATACGAAATCACCAGAGTTGCCGTGTAGGGGAAAACGAGGGGATTCACATTTTCACCATAGTTTGTTCTCGAAGACGTTTGACCGAAAACAGTTGATGTGATTTTATCTTTAAGTACTGTAATATTACTGTATCCGTCTGTAAATTCCGTCATGAACGTAACTGAGAAACAGAAACAAATATTAATAAATTTTATGCGGGCTAATCCTGATTTCGGGAGAGGGCAATTAAGATATAACCGTGAAAATAAAAAACAAATTGTAAGTTTTGAGTTAATTTTATTATTTCATGAAATTTTAATTTTACAAATATTAATTATATAATTGATGAGATATTAAATTGTAAATAAAAATTACACAAATAACTATAATATATATATATTATATAGGAGAAATTATGGGAGAAAGTAACGTCTGCCTTAAATTCTGCAGGCTGTGGTCCGCAAAAGCAATCAAAGGAATGGGCAAAGGTAAAGTTACATCAATGATAATTTTTTCTTTAACAAAACTATTTCCGAGCTGTGAGACCGTAATTTAAAGGAATTCCTTCTTCATTCAGATATTTTGTCTGCAATTGTGACGAACCGTCTTCAGTGGCAAACGGAACGTGGTTGAAGTTTCCTTCTCTGTGTCTCAGTTTTGATCAACGTTCCGTTTGTCAATTAAAGATGTCTGCTGCAAATGAAATATCTAGAAGAAGAAGGAATTCCTCTGTACCACTGTCTTATAGTCCGGAAATAGTTTCTCCTAATTATGATGCCGGTCGTGAAAGCCTTTACAGTCATTAATTCTTTCTTTATTACAGACATGGCGTGATTGGAAGTCCAACTTACTAAAAAGAGTAGCCACATACAAAAGTTATGCAGCAGGAACTGGAGGAGGACAACCAATAATTTTGAATACAAGCCTAGCTGAAGATGACTTACTTGAATTTTTAACACCCGAGGCCAGTGGAATGTCTAATATTCCCGAAGGAGGTGCTATTAGCGATGTATCTATTACTGATCTGACCATAGAAAGAATTTTGACACCGCAGAAATGGCAGAATCCTTCTACTTCGTATCTACCGATTTGTACTGATCTGACCGCTGAAAGAGTTTCGTCGCAAAAACTGGAAAATCCTTCTACTTTGCAAATCACGAATTTTTCGATCTCTCCAAATTTGCATACTGAGAAGAGTATCAGACAGGCGACTTCGTGCTTCCAAGGACTTGAAGTAATTGTTGTCTTATTATACTTTAAAATTTTAATAATTATTTATTCATGTTCTATTAAAATTTTCAGGAACATTCCTTCCACAGCAACGTAACAAACAATGATACAGAGAATTTTCCAATAAGTGTAAGTGATATATAATTTCTTTTGCATGATGTATTTATTTTTTTCAACATAATATATATTTATAATAAAGATACTTTTCATTTCAGATATCCTCTAATGTACTTCGTTCAATAGAAAATGAACAAGAACAGATTCCAAAACAAGTACATTGTATCAAGTCTGGTCCAATCTCAATCAAAAGTATCAAGAGACATTCTGGTGATGCAGGTAATTAAAACGTTTTCTCTCTTGTGTTATATTTACAATATTTAATTTTATTTTATCTGATCTTTCTGTTATTAATAGAACCTAATCATAATATTATTGAACTAATTTCTTTAGATACTTCTAACAAAAAAATAAAGAAGCAAGACGTAAAACATTTATTCGAACAACATACCACAGACTACTGCAATCTTCAGGAACAAATATTGCAATTAAAACAGGAAAAGTTAGCCATACTAAAAGAAAGGTTGCAATTGAAAAAAAAAGATCACGAAGATTATATCAGGTTTTTTAAATCATTTCTTGAAAAGATGGATGAACTAATGAACATTGTTCGATCAATCGGTCCGCAATATTTGGAAGACTGAAGAGAAAGAGTTGTCTTTTTATTATAAACATTATTTACATAAGTTCGCAATATTTAGAAGACTGAAAAGGAAGAATTATTTTTTGTTATAAACATTATTTACGTAAGTTCGCAAAGTGACCTTGAAGACTGAAAAGAAAGTTGTGAAGAATTTAGTTTAGAAAAAAGTATGTGTGTTTTATTATAAACATTGTTGACGTATTATTAACATAAACATGTTATACTTTATGAACATATTTTATTAAAAATATATTTGATTAAAAATTCATTTTCTCAAAATATTTTTCCTCACAATAGCATTTACAAATATTTTTTTTAATTGATCTGTGCAAACACATATGTTCAACAGACAAAGCAATAATTCTTTATTATAATTAGTTTTTACTTAAATTGAGAGAATTAATGAAAGAATCAATCATATTAAAAATTCACTGAGCGCTCACTTATCTGCTTAGTCTGTTGAACATAGCTATTTTCAAAATACAATTAAAAACTCATGTAAAAAATGTTAAATCTTAAAAGTTGAGTCAATTTGTGAAATACCATTGGATCACACGATTTCGGGTTTGTTCTCCACGTTCTTCGTTAATATCATGATATGGTATCGGTGGTGCTATATCTAATTCATCCAGATGTATTTCATCACAAGGAATCCCCCATTTGATCGCCATATTATGCAGAACGCAACAAGCATTGACAATAAGAGCTGTATGATAAAAATATTTCAGAGATGGGAAGTAACTCATTACTTATAACGAAGTTACAGTTGTTAGAGTTACTTTTTTTCAGTAACTGTAACTTAACTTCGTTACTTTCTTTCCATCTGTAATTATAACTTAACTTAGTTACATCTTTTAAGTAACTAGTAACTAATTTAATAGTTACTTTCATAGTTATTTTATATATTTTAAACTTATTTGTCCACGGTAGTGTCCACTTGGCGCTACAAATACTTCGAAACATTTGATTAATCAAATGAAAGAAATTTAATTAAAGCGTTCAATGAACTCTTGTACCTGTTTGGTCTATATTTTGGGGTCTAATGGAATCCGCCAATCAAATACAAGAGCGCTCAATGAACGGTTATAAACCATTTTGGATTAGTGCTGGAATTTATTTGCAACTTTTAGCCGAATATAAAAAGAATTTTTTTTTACAAAAAACATTGTATATGTGTTCTATTTCATATTCATATTCATATTCATATGTGTTTATATTACTTTAACGAAAAACGTCTTTGCCATATAATTTTTTTATCTTTTTGAATAAAATTGGATAACATGTAAATTTAAGCCAGTCTTTTTCTTTTAATTGTCCTAGGCATTACTCTGATGACCCCGTGTATTATCCTTGTTTAATATTAGGTAAAAAACAAAGGTAAAACGATACATGAAGGGCAGTTGGATAACGTTTCTGAATACAGCCTTAATGGTATCGATACTACCAATAAAAATTCCGATGAAAAAAGTAACTTAAAAGTAACTTAAAGTTACTTTTTCAGTAACTGTAACTGTAACGAATTACTTTTAAGACTCAATAACTTGTAACGATAATTAATTACTTTTTGAAAGAGAAAAACTGTAACTGTAATTAATTACTTTTACAAAGTAACTTTCCCATCCCTGAAATATTTCATTGACATTTATGTATTGCAAGAAATAGTGAAATAATTAAGTAGTAACTTTAAGTGTGTTCGATTTGTTGGTAAGTGATCTAAAAAAAAAGTCTCCGATTGCAAAGATTTAAAAGAAATGAAAGAGTATATAAACCTGCGAATTGTGGACGATAATGTAAGGCTCGTTCCTTCCGTAAACAACGCCAGCAACCTTTTAAAATGCCGAAACAACGCTCTATAGCCACACGAGTCCGAACATGATGATCTGTGTATCTTGCACCTGGAGTTCCTTCTTCTTCATTTAATTTTGGCGTCAATAGAAAAGGTAGAAGGGGGTATGCAGAATCACCTAAATGTACAATATTAGTTTTAACACTGCCAATTTTTTTATTAAATCCATGCAAAATTAAAACAGAAAATTATAAATATAAAGGAGTTAAAGTTCAGAAATCATGGATATGTAGAGTCCTATGTATCAATATTACTACATATATCTGTATGTAAATACGTAAGTAATTCTTTACCTAGAAGCCAGCAATTATCTATTTCACCCTGTCTGTGTCTCTGTTCTAAATGAGCAAAGAGTCTCGACGACCGTAATACTCAAGCATCATGTGTTCGGCCATCATGGGCACTATTTACAGCGAGAATTTCGCAGTTGGAATCACAAATCTGAAATCAAATGTATTTAATAATTTATTATTATTCCAATCGACATAGCATCAGTTACGTTACATATCTATGTTAAAATCTCCACTGAACAATATAAGTTTTAACATACCTAAATTTAATGTAACTGATGCTGCGTTTTAACTGTATATATATGGGGCATTCTTTGCCAAATCGATCAAGCCTCTGTCCAAAATTGATATGGACGGATTTCAA